CAGCATGGGAATTCTGTTAGAAGTTGTTATTATAGTCTTTCATCTGAAGGTGGTCTACAGGTAGAATTCCTTTCTCTTCCAGGGACCTCAGTCTCAGTTTTTCCTCTTCAGGCCTTCAACTGATTGGATGAGGCCCACACACATAATGATGAGTAATCTGCTTTACTCAAAATGTATTGATTTATTTTATTTTTTGCAACAGAGTCTCACTCTGTCACCCAGGCCAGAGTGCAGTGGTGCGATATCAGCTCATTGCAACCTCTGCCTTCTGGTTTCAAGCAATTCTCCTGCCTCAGCCTCCCAAATAGCTGGGATTACAGGTATGCACCACCACGCTAATTTCTGTATTTTTCAAAGAGTAGGTAATTTTTGTGTTTTATTTAACAGATTAAGCGGCTAATTTTTGTATTTTTAATAGGGAAAGGGTTTCACCATATTATCTAACTCCTGGCCTCAAGTGATGCACCCACCTCAGCCTCCCAAAATGCTGAGATTACAGGCATGAGCTACTGCGCCCAGCCAAAACCTACTGATTTAAATGGTAATCAGATCTAAAAAAACACTTTCACAGCAACATCTACATTAGTGTTTGACCAAGCAACTGGGTGTGATAACCTAGCTAAGTTGACTCATAAAACTAACCATTGCAGTCCACCACTTGTTAATTTGGCAGACATAAACATCTCCTTAAACTATACTTAATGTTAAAACAAGGTCATACCTCCACCTAACGTGAGGCAACTGTCCTGTGTATGCCTGAAATTACACAAACTCTCTTCCCAAAACTGATTGCAAAATCCTTGAGGCATGTTCCTTGACATCCTATAACCTAAATAGTATGATATAAAGTTAGCAATACTTAAATATTGTGATGTAAGGTTAATACGTCCCCTGTTATATGACAATGGGATAAGAGACGGAAGAAAACAAAAATATTTGCCGCACATGCGCGCGCACACACACACACACAGTTATAACAACATAATGAAGAAATACCCATAACAATGACATTCCTCATTTCCATACCTGTAACTGGTCACATGGTCATAGCTGCTATTTATAGCTTCCTTCTTTTACAACCTAAAAGAGGTGTAAACCTCTTGTTTCAGCAAACACCTCAATCAATGGTGGTTCTTTACTTGGTGGGGTGACCTAAACCTTCATTCTGGAAGGGTCTGGGCCATGCATTCCTGTCCCAGTTGGGATGTTTCCACTGGCTTCAATCACAGGACATGGTAATAATAAGAGACACCCTAAGGGATCTCTTGTATTCCAGACATCCTCCTCCTTACCTCCATTGCAGAGATTGTGATTACAAAGAAGTAACCACAATCACCCTAGCCAGAATAGTGACTCCTTTCTTTGCCTGTTTTTTTTTTTTGTTGTTGTTGTTGTTGTTGTTTCTTTTCTTTTCTTTTCTTTCTTTCTTTTTTTTTTTTTTTTTTTTTTGAGATGGAGTTTCGCTCTTGTTCCCTAGGCTGAAGTGCAATGGCGTGATCTCAGCTCACCGCAACCTCCGCCTCCCAGGTTCAAGCAATTCTCCTGACTTGCCTCCTGAGTAGCTGGGATTATAGGCACGCGCCACCACGCCTGGCTAATTTTGTATTTTTAGTAAAGATGGGGTTTCTCCATGTTGGTCAGGCTGGTCTCAATCTCCTGACCTCAGGTGATCCACCCACCTTGGCCTCCCAAAGTGCTGGGATTACAGGTGTAAGCCACAGTGCCCAGCCTCTTTGCCTGTTGATACAGAAGTCTGAGGACTCAATGTGGCCTGGTGGGACTCAAAACTTCCAGTTTGATGGAATCACTGTGTCTCCCAAGGAAGCATTCCTCCTTTTGGAACTAATACCTTGAGACCAGCAAAGCATAAAGTCATGGGGACAGGAAATAGATATTTTGATTCTACAGATGAGTAAGATTTTTGTAGGCTGACTCCTCTGTTTGCTCGTACGACCACCATGATCAACTAGCCAACACCACAGGTCTCTGTGAATCATATTATTCTTTTTATTTGAGAGAGGGTCTCGCTCTGTTGTCCAAGGCTGGAGAGCAGTGTCATGGCACACTGCAGCCTCGACCTCCAAGGCTCAAGTGGTCCTCCCACCTCAGCCCCCAAAGTAGCTACAACTACAGGCAGGCACCAACACATCCAGCTGATTTTTGTATGTTTGGAGGGGTAGAGACAGGCTTTTGCCATGTTCGCCAGGCTGGTCTCAAACTCCTGAGCTCAAGTGATCCACCTGCCTCAGCCCCGCAAAGTGCTAGGATTATAGGCGTGAGCCACTGCTCCTGGCCTGCAAGTCATACTATTCTGCTTTCACTGTGCCATCCATGACAACAACCAGGCCCATGCTGCCTTTGGCAATTAAGTGCTGTTGCTTGGCCCCTGCCACACTGGGACCAAATTATCGCCATTGCATTTAGGGTTCCCAATTCAGCGGCAGCAGTTTCCACTGAATTTCTACCTGCAAAAAAGAGTGACCACACAGCTCTTCCAGGATGGTAGGTGCCCCTCACAAATTTATTTCTCATAGATGTGGTGAAAGTGGTATCCTCTGGACACTCCCAGGTTGAATGGGCAGGTAACACTTGATAAATCCCCTCTGACATCTGTTTTACTCAAAGACTACTGATTTAAATGTTAATCACATCTTTTTTTTTTTTTGAGACGGAGTCTCACTCTGTTGCCCGGTCTGGAGTGCAGTGGCCGGATCTCAGCTCAATGCAAGCTCCGCCTGCTGGGTTTACGCCATTCTCCTGCCTCAGCCTCCCGAGTAGCTGGGACTACAGGTGCCCGCCACCTCGCCCGGCTAGTTTTTTGTATTTTTTAGTAGAGACGGGGTTTCACTGTGTTAGCCAGGATGGTCTCGATCTCCTGACCTTGTGATCCGCCCGTCTCGGCCTCCCAAAGTGCTGGGATTACAGGCTTGAGCCACCGCGCCCGACCTTAATCACATCTTAAAAAATAACTTTGCCGCAATATCTAGGCTGGTGTTTGACCAAGGAACTGGACACTTTGCCTAGCCAAGTTGACACATAAAACTAATCATCACATATATTTAAATGAAAGCAAAGTTTTCACCAGTGCTAAAATCAAGAATCAGTCTTACTTATAGACATAGATTACTCTAATGTGTATTTCGTGTATATATACATATTTAATAAATTTCCCATCTCCATCACTTTGCAAGCTGTCCAGGGTTGAGAGAGACGCTTCTCCCCGATTAAAAAATTTCTTTCTTTCTTTCTTTTTTTTTTCTTGAGACGGAGTCTCACTCTGTCACCCAGGCTAGAGTGCAGTGGCGTGATCTGGGCTCACTGCAAGCTTCCCCCTCCTGGGTTCACGCCATTCTCCTGCCTCAGCCTCCCGAGTAGCTGGGACTACAGGTGCCAGCCACCATGCCTGGCTAATGTTTTGTATTTTTTTAGTACAGATGGGGTTTCACCATGTTAGCCAGGATGGTCTCAATCTCCTGACATCGTGATCTGCCCGCCTCGGCCTCCCAAAGTGCTGGGATTACAGATGTGAGCCACCGCGCTCCGCCCCTGATTTAAAAAGTTCAAGCAGACCTGCACAGGGGCTCATGCCTGTAATCCCAGCAGTTTGGAAGACCAAGGCAGGTGGATCACTTGAGCCCAGGAGTTTGAGACCAGCCTGACTGAGCAACATGATGAAATCTTGTGTCTACCAAAAAAAAAAAAAAAAGCAAAAAATTAGCCAGGCATGACATGGCCTGCACCTGTAGTTCCAGCTACTTGGGAGGCTGAGGTGGGAGGATAGATTGAGCCCAGGAGATTGAGGCTGCAGTGAGCCATGATCTCATCACTGAACTCCAGCCTGGATGACAGAGTGAGACCCTGTTTCAAAATAATGATAATAATAATAATTTTAAGCAGCACAGTGGTGTTGCAGACGTATCTTGGCCAAAAGAAATCCTTATGTTTTCTTTCCTCCTCTTGGGAAGCTGACTGGATTCAGGTAGCATAGCACCATTTCATAGAGCCATAACTTTGGGCAAGTTACTAAGGCTCTTTGTGCCTTAGTTTTTCCATAGGAAAAACGTGTTTAGAATAGTATTTCTCTTTTATTGTTCTTGAGAGGGTTCAAAAAACTAAAATGATTAAACAGACTCACGCAGATTGTTGCATAATAGGAAAATTGAAAGGTAAATATTCTTATTGAACACAGATTCTGCATCCTCCGGGTCTGGAGTCACCTAAGCAGATCCCGCCCTTGGGGGCACTCCATATTTTCAGGACTACTCTCCTGGAGTTGGGTGGGCACGCTAGGCTTTGGAGGAGCCCCTGCAGAATTTTGTGTAAAGGAGGCCCCAGACAAATGTGCCCATACAACTGCTCAGGCATGAGGAATGGAAGGGTGGGCTCGCCTCCACCCTGTTGCTGGGCTCAAGAGAAAGTGGCAGAAGGACCATGGTGGAGATAATAACAGGCAGTGCTAGAGGGCAGGAGGGCAGAAAGCAAGGCTCACATCCATGACTGTTCTCTGCACACAACTCCCTCGCCGCGCTCGCCGGCTCAGGCCTATCCAGGGACGAAGCTGGGGTTGCACACCGGCTCCAGGAAAGGCGAAATACCGCAGATGGGGTGGTGGGGGTGAGAATATTGCGACCACCAGAGGCTGGGTTCTCGGAACGCTCGGGGACTGGGATGTCCAGCAACCACAAGGAAATGCGGAAAATGGAGAAGTTGTGGGGAGCAGGACGGCAGGGGCGCCGCGGACGAGCGGGTGCACAGGCCTGAGCGAGCGAGCGAGCGCCAAACAAGACACCCGCGGCGCACACCTTGCGCCCGGCCCGCCTGCTGCTCACAGTTCCGCCCTGTACCCACAGGAGGCCGAGACTCAGCGGGGCGGGTGCAAGCGCCGGGCGGGGCCTCTGCGTACGGTCCCATCTCCGCCTGCAGAGGGAGCAGCCGGCTCCAGGCTCCAATGCGCCTTCCAGCTGCCTGACGCCCTCTTCGCCTCTCCCCTCCTCTCTTGGCTGGAAATGGACCCCAACTGCTCCTGCGCCACTGGTAAGGGAAGCCCGGCTCTGCGCCTGGGAATGCCCAATTCCCAGCCACAGTACAGTGTCCCTGCGTTTGAGGAGGTCGCATTTTGAGCTCTGAGCAGAAGGGGACCCTTTACTTCGTCCAGTACTTTCTCCTTGGAATAGCTCCTGAGAGCATTGCGCTCCTCACTGTGCCTCTGTGTCACAGCTGAGTGTTCTGAGGCTCAAGGCTGCCCTGTTCCACGTCACCTGGTTGGTCAGGGGGCTGCTGGCCAAGCCCCAATGCTCTGTCCAGGCTCTGAGCAAGCAGGGTGGGTGGGAGGCAGGAAACACTGCGTCTTTGAGATTCAGGACAGGAGGTTTTGCGCCCCAGTCCGAGTCTTCCTGGGTTGTGTGTGCATCTGCGACCTTCATGGTGGGGTAAAACAGGAGGGTGCTTGCCCTTCCCAGCATGAGTGGAGAGGACGTGGGGCTTGTCTCCCTCTGTCCTGAGTGGGAAAGGAGCTCTGAGGGCTGGCCCTGCACAGAGGATGGTGCACTGGAGACTCAATGACCCACTGCTGTACCTTGTGCATCTCACTCACTGCTCACTGCCTTTATCTCTTCCTTCCAGGAGCCTCCTGCTCCTGTGCCAGCTCCTGCAAGTGCAAAGAGTGCAAATGCACCTCGTGCAAGAAGAGTGAGTGTGGGGCCATCTCCAGGAATCTGGCACTGTGGCTAAACTTGGGAGGGAACCCAAGGCTGGCCTGGAGTGCACGCTTCTGGGGAACGCCTTTCTTTGCCCCTGTTGGCCATGTCATTCCCTCTCCAGGCTTTCTGCTCTGAGTTCGAATGTGGCAGGGCAGCCTATTTCTATTGAGACACAAACCCCAAAGGTACCACCTGTGGTCTCAGAACAGAGCTGTGCCAACCTAAAAAGACATCCTCCAGGTTTGGAGTCTGACCTCGAGCCAGGCCTGCTGTTGACACAGGGAGGTGCCTGATTGAGTCTGCTCTGACCTTTCACTCTCCCTTTTTGCCCAGGCTGCTGCTCCTGCTGCCCCATGGGCTGTGCCAAGTGTGCCCAGGGCTGCATCTGCAAAGGGGATGTGAAGTGCAGCTGCTGTGCCTGATGTGGGGACAGCTCTGCTCCCAGATGTAAATAGAGCAACCTGTACAAACCTGGATTTTTTTTTTTATACAACCCTGAGCCATTTGCTACATTCGTTTTTCTATTAAATATGTAAATGATAATAAAACAGTTTTGACTTGATTGTGACTCTCCTTTCCTTTGTGTGACTTCGAATTAATGGACCAGGGTTAGAGATTGAACCAGGAGTTGAGAGACCTGGGCTCTGGATGGAAATCTGAGTCGCTAACAATCTGAGCGCCTTCAGGCAAGCCAGGTTACCTCACTGAGCTTCATCTTCTAGAAAATGGAATTGCACTGTACCAGATCATAATGGGGGGACATCCATGATCACCTCTGGTCGTATCAAATGTGGCACAGAAACTTCTCCATCTCTCATTTTTATTTTCTGATTTCCCTACCCAATTTCAGTTTCCTCATCAGATTTTAGGCTTCAAAGAGATGACAGGGGTGGAACCCAATTCGTCAGCTGCTTGATTCCCACACCGGGCTTCTCAGACTCCGTGGTGAAGGAACTTTTTACTACCTATGCTTCCCAGACATAAACCTTTTTTTAAATTTTGGTATGTAAAACACTGATTTCAGAAAATACATTTTTAAAACTTTGTTATTTATACAAAAAGAGAGAGATTTCTCAAGAGGCTGATAGCAAAAGGCCATTGTGGATCAGAGCCTGATGAAACTAGCAATTTTAGCCTGGCATAGTCCCAGCTACTTGGGAGGCTGAGGTGAGAAGATTAGTTGAGCCCGGGAGGCGGAGGTTGCCGTGAGCCAAGATCGTGCCAATGCATTTCAGTCTGGGCGATGGAATGAGGCTCTATCTCAAAAAAAAAAAAAAAAAAGTAAAATAAAAATAAACTAACAATGTTTCAAAAATCTGGTTACAAAGAAGAAAAGGGAAGCCATCCCAAGGCTGGGATGTTGCTACCTGCTCCCCAACTCCTGACCGCAGACACCAAGTGACAATGAGGCTGGGGAAGGCTGCATGGCCTGAGCCTTGGTGCTCCAGATTGACACTTGCTTCAAAATCTTGGCTTTGGCAAAAACCATGGCAAGTTGATGAGTAAACTGTCCTGCTGAGCGGTGTGGTGGAGGATGCTTCCTCTTAGGTGGGAAGATAAATATAATTATGTCAATTATGGAGAAAATGAAATCAAACACAAAATTCAAAACACAATTTTTCACATTTAACAGGAAAGAATTCAATAAATGCATAAAGAAGTAACAGAAAAATTGGCCGGGCACAGTGTCTCATGCCTGTAATCCCAGCACTTTGAGAGGCCGAGGCAGGCGGATCACCAGAGGTCAGGATCTTGAGACCAGCCTGGACAACACGGTGAAACCCCGTCTCTACTAAAAATACAAAAATTAGCTGGGCTTGGTGGCAGGAACCTGTAATCCCAGCTACTCAGGAGGCTGGGGCAGGAGAATCGCTTGAACCCGGGAGGTGGAGGTTGCAATGAGCTGAGACCCTGCCACTGTACTCCAGCCTGGGTGACAGAACAAGACTCCATCTCAAAAAAAAAAAAAAAAAAAAAAAAAAGTAACAGAAAACTTGAAGATTTACAAACTCTGCACATATGTTCATGAGTGATGTACACTATAGACTAGAAACGATGGACTGGTGCCATTGTGTGAACCACACACTTTCATCTGCACTGGCCATGAAAACCTCACAAGGATACCATCAGCTGGGCTGAGGGCAGTGGCTCAAGCCTGTAACCCTAGCACTTTGGGAGGGTGAGGCCAGCAGATTGCTTGACCTCAGGAGTTCGAGACCAGCCGTGGCACACAGCGAAACTTGTCTCTACAACAAATGCAAAGTGTAATTGGGCTTGGTGATGTGTGCCTGTACTCCCAGTTACTCGGGTGGGGGGTGAGAGAGGGTGGGTAAGGTGGGCGGATCGCTTGAGCCCAGGAGGTGAACGTTGCCATGAGCAGAGATCTTGACACTGCACTCCAGCCTGGTTAATACAGCAAGACTCTGTCTCAAAAAGAGAGAGAGAGAGAGAGAGAAAGAAAAAGAGAATTAGCCTGCCCAGAGTCACAGGACACTTGCTGACACCTGAGAGTTCCCTGTTGTGACTTGGCTCTGAATCTTTGAAAGTTCTGCCCAAGCTCAAGCTGAATTTTCCCTTCCAAATTTCAGCCCTTGACTATGTCAATCCATCAAAGTGACTGGGGCTGTGGAGGGAAGAGCCGAGCATTTTCCAAGCACGATGCGGTGTGTGTAATCATGGGTTGCAGATGTTCCCGTTTGCCCACGCAGGAGTGATAGCAGATCCCGCAGTTTGGGGAGTGTGGGGAGTGCTCATTAGGAAAGAGTGAGGCCCTAGCTGACTTGTAATTAAAGCCAGTGATTAGTCCCCCCTGGCTATGTGGATAGAATCCTATTTGATGTTCAATCAAAGAGGAAGATGAGTCTCTTGGCCTAGAGGTCAGGGCCACTGACCTCTCTGTTTCCCTGTGAAGAGATTTCAGAAGGCAGCCTGAGCCTAGGGCATGGGTTTTGGTGTCAGTCAGTCCTGGTTCACAGCCTACTTCACCACCAAAAAACAAAAAAAGTGAGAGTCTCATCTTTGAAAGAGAAAAAAAAGCAACTTTGGAACTGGGTAACAGGCAAGAGTTAGAAGAGTTTGGAGGGCTCAGAAGACAGGAATATGTGGGAAAGTTTGGAACTTCCTAGAGACTTGTTGAATGGCTTTGCCCAAAATGCTGACAGCGATATGGACAATAAAGTCCAGGCTGAGGTGGTCTTATACAGAAATGAGGAACTTGTTGGGAATTGGAGCAAAGGTGACTTTTGTTGTGTTTTAGCAAAGAAACTGGTGGCATTTTGCCTTTGCCCTAGAGATATGTGGAACTTTGAGCTTGAGAAAGATGATTTATGGCATCTGATGGAAGAAATTTCTAAGCAGCAAAACATTCAAGAGGTGACTTGGGTGCTGTTAAAGGCATTCAGAATTATAAGAGGAACAAAGCATAAAAGCTTGGAAAATTTGCAGCCTGACAATGCAATAGAAAAAAAAAAAACCCTTTTCTGAGGAGAAATTCAAGCTGGCTGCCAAAATTTGCATAAATAACAAGGAGCAGAATGTTAATCCCCAAGACAATGGGGAAAATGTGTCCAGGGCATGTCAGAGGACTTCACGGCAGCCCCTCCCATCACAGGCCCAAAGGCCTAGGAGGAAAAAGTGGTTTCATGGGCTAGGTCTAGGGTCCCTGTGCTGTGTGCAGCCTAGGGACTTGGTGCCCTGCATCCTAGCCACTCCAGCCATGGCTAAAAGGGGCCAATGTAAAGCTCTGGCTGTGGCTTCAGAAGGTGCAAGCCCCAAGCCTTGGCAGCTTCCACATAATGTTGAGCCCGTGAGTGCACAGAAGTCAGGAATTGGGAACCTCTGCCTAGATTTCAGAAGTTGTATGGAAATGCAGAAGTTTGTTGTAGGCGTGGGGCCCTCATGGAGGACCTCTGCTAGGGCAGTGTGGAAGAGAATGTGGGGTCAGAGCCCTCACACAGAGGACCTACTGGGGCACTGCCTAGTGGAGCTGTGAGAAGAAGGCCAGCTCCAGTCCTCCAGACCCCAGAATGGTAGATCCACCAACAGCTTGCACCATGTGCCTGGAAAAGCCACAGACACTCAATGCCAGCCATATAAGCAACCAGGAGGGGAGCTGTAAAGCCACAGGGGCAGAGCTGCCCAAGACCTTGGGAACCCACCTCTTGCATCAACGTGACCTGGATATGAGACATGGAGTCAAAGGAGACCACTTTGGAGCTCTAAGATTTGACTGTCCTGCTGGATTTTGGACTTTTATGGGGCCTGTAGCCCCAAAACATTTTGGCCAATGTCTCCCATTTGAAATTGCTGTATTTACCCAATGCCTGTACTACCATTGTATCTAGGAAGTAACTAACTTGCTTTTGATTTTTCAGGCTCATAGGCAGAAGGGACTTGCCTTGTCTCAGATAATACTTTAGACTGTGGACTTCTGAGTTAATGTTGAAGTGAGTTGAGACTTTGGGGGACTGTTGGGAGGGCATGATTGGTTTCAAAATGTGAGGATGTGAGATTTGGGAGGGGTCAGAGGCAGAAAGATATGGTTTGGCTGGGCTTCTATCCAAATCTCATCTTGAATTGTAATTCCCACAATTCCCAAGTGTCATGGGAGGAACCTAGTGGGAGGTGATTGAATCATGGGGGCAGGTCTTTCCCATGCTGTCATCGTAATAGTGAATGAATCTCATGAGATCTGATGGTTTTAAAAATGGAGGTTTCCCTGCACAAGCTCTCTCTTTGCCTGCTCCCGTCCATGTAAGACATGACTTGCTCCTCCTTGCCTTCTGCATGATTGTGAGGCCTCCCCAGCCATGTGGACCTGTAAGTCCATTAAACCCCTTTCTTTTGTAGATTGCCCAGTCTTGGGTATGTCTTTATCAGCAGTGTGAAAACAAACTAATACAATGGGTGAGGGCATGATGGTGCAGACAGTATGCATGAGTGCACATCCCACCTCTGTCACTTTTAGCTGTGCCTCACAACCTCTCTGTGTCTCCTGTAATAGGAGCATAATAATGGCATCTGGCTTGTAAGGTGAAAGAATCTTATACATGTGAGGAGCTTGGAATGGTGCTTGGCAAGCATTCTACAATATTAGTTATTGCTTTATTATTTTTTAAAAATAATTATACATTGCATGGGGGATATTTACTTACAGACAAAGAAGCCAGGCCTGGAGTGCCTAGCTGTATATACTGTCATTGTCATCTACCACATGAACATATGTCATGTGGTCCAAAGATTTGTATGAAAAGCAAACTCTTTTCCACCTCCAAAAATGAAAATCAGTCTTATCCATACATAGAAGACAGCCAGGAAAACTATAAATGTGTTTTGTGTGTGTGTGTGTGTGTGTGTGTATTACACTTATGGATTGCTTTTGCCACTGCACATGGTTGAGCTTGTGGCTTGCCATTGTTTAGAAGCTTTCCAGCAAGAGAGAAGTGCTGATGACATACCTGGGCCAAAGGAAGGCTTGATCCATGAACACTTTCTCTTGAGGGGTTGGTTGGATTCAGATCAGTGACAACTTCTCAGCTCTGTGACTTGAACCAATTACTTTAA